AGGAGGGGCGGGGAGAGGGTGAATAGCAGGGTCCCAGAGCTAGAACACAGTGGACCCAGGATGCAGCCCCACTGAGAAGGATGCTAATGTGCCCTCACTTCATTTTTCCTCTGTCTCACCCAGCTCTGGGGGCCGGGGGCAGTGCCATGGCCACTGCAGGGCTAGAGACCAGGCTCTGGGGAAGTCCTGAGTTCTGGGAGGGGCCGCTTTGCCCCTTCACTTTCCGGTCTTCCCCCTGAGCAGCAGCCCCCCCACCATGATGGGGCTCTGGGTGGACACCCAAGGAGGCCTTGGCCATTTCAGCTCGAGTTCTGTGCGCCAGGAATTGATGGGAATGGAGGAGCAGAGGCAGGTGCTGTTGTGCCCAGGCTGAGGGCAGAGGTCAGGGACGCCCCAGGCTGGCAGTGCCCTGCGTGCTGGGCTGCGGGGCAGTAGCAGGTCACGTTTCCTTGCCCTGGGAAGTAGATGCCCTTACACCCATTTGACAGAGAAGAAAGTGAAGCCGAGGGAAACCGTGTGTCAGAATTGGGTTCGGCTGCAGGACTGGGAAACCCAACAATAGCGGCTCAACCAGGGGAATTTACTTTTTCATGCATCACAGGCGACCAGAGCAGGGGAGCCTGGGGCCACGGAAAGTGTCCTGCTCCTTGGTACCGCGGCCCCGCCATTCTCAGGGTCCAGCGTGCTGCCACTGTGGCAGGGCCTCTGGGGACTGAACTGCATGTTCTGCATCCACCCTAGTGGCCAAGATCTGGGTGACAGAGCGAGGCTGCAGGGAGGCAAGGCCTTGAGGCAGTTGGTCTGCGAAGCCCATACCCACTCAAAGCATCCAGGACCCGCACTCTTTCGGCCAGAGACCGAGGGGCTGGTGGATGCTGGTGCTGCCGGCCACTGTGTGGTCCTGGGAGGGGTGCTTGGATGGGGACACCAGGCAGTTGGGGAGCTGCAGCATCTGGGGGCTGGCCTGAGTTCCTGGTTTCACAGGAGAATCTGGCCTGGTTTGGTCGGGGTAGGGGGTGAGGGACAAACCCTCCCCGCTGGGGGTACTTCTGCAGGCCTGGCAAGCAGAGCTCCTGAGATGCAGACTGCTCGTTCATGAGGGTTAGGGGTGTGATTACTGGCCCCAGGATCTAGCCCCCTGGCATTCACCACACTCCCACACCCCCCTTGAGACCTCTGCGTGTCTGCACAGGCTGGAAGCCCCCAGCTCCTGTCCCCTCCTGTGCTCCAGCTCACACGACACTTGGAAAACATCCCTGGCCTGCCTGCCAGGTGGCCTTGCTGGGGCTTCCTGTTCCCTGGGCAGATAGATGGCTCTCTGCTGCTCTCCTGGAAGGGCCACTGAGCTCCTCCCTCTGGGCCAAAGCCCATGGGGTCTGGCTGAGGACTGGCACCCCTTGGCCAGAACAGCTGGGTCTCCCCAAGAGCTACCAGCTGGAGTCCAGGGGCTGAGGGCAAAGGGCAGCGGGTGGCCCAGACCTGAACTTGAACCGCCGCCCAGGGACCTGGAGCAGGTGCTGGTGGGGAAGGGGCCTCTTGCTTTCATTGACTTCAGCTTCTTTTCTGCAGATGTCATTGTCCTCACAGCGACTGTTCCATAGGTGTCACAGGCGGTCTGGCTTCATCTCAATCAGTTCCTCCACACTCTCCCTGTTCCACAAGTGGAAACGGATGTTTGGAGGGGGGTCAAGTGCATTGCCAAGGTCACAGCTGGGGAGGAGGGAGTCAGGACCGAAACCTGGGTCTGTCTGACCCCGGGCTTGGGAGGGACCCAGGTGTCCTCGGGCCAAATGCAGATGGGCCAAAGAGGCTGGCTGCCAGGAGCCAGCTGGGGCTCCCTTGGGCTCCCAAGAATCTGTGACATTTGTGGCGGTCCCTTCTAGGCTGGAAGGCTCCTGAGAAAGATTTAAGAAGGGCCAGGATATCCCCTCAGTTAAGGAGATGGCTGCCCCCATGGACACTTGGGAAGGGCCTGTTCTGGGGGGCCACCTGCCTTACCACAGAGAGCTGGCGCCAGTCAGGCAGCTGCCAGCTATCAGCAGTGCTTCTAGGTGCCTAGGGAACTCAGCCCAGCCCTGGGCTACCTGCGCTTCAGGCCACCTTGGCTCCACCTCCTGCTGGCCTCCCCTGGGGAGGCTGGGGGCACGAAGCTGGGGGCTGTAGGAAGTGGGACAGGGGCCAGATCTGTGTGCACATGTCCCTGGCCAGCACCTGTGGCTCCTTCCCCAAGCTTTGGGGCCCTGGCTCCTTGGGAAAGAGGGGGCAGCCCCTGGCCCCTGCAGCTGGAGGGAGGGGTGCCGGGGCCTGGTTGGGTGTTGGGGCACAGCAGGGCTGGCGTCAGGATGGGGCCTGGGCTGGGCAGGTGGGGCTGCCTGGAGATGATGGCTGCTTTGCGCCTCCTGCCAAGAGAGGAGAACGAAGCCACCTCCAACCTGGCCCGGGCTTGGGCGGGAGCCAGGGGTGAGGGGGGCCTCAAAATGAACTGTGATTCCATCTGTTACGGAAATGACAGGCCAGCCAAGAAACAAGCACCACTCGGAGGGTTGGAGCACTCAGATTTATTACGCCGGCGGGCTCAGAGGGGCTTCTGCTCCAAAGCTCTGAGCACCTCCAAGACGTGTGCATGAGGTTTTACAGGGTTAATTACAAGCTTGGGGTATTTGGCCAATAGGCATGGAACAGCTTTAGCAACATCATTATCACAAAAGTAGAGGCAGGGAGGCAGGAAACCAACATTTCAAGGCCAGATATGTCTTTGAAAACCCAGCTGGCTAGCAAAAAAACATGAACAGGGAATCAGCAAACCAACAATAATTAACTCAGATTTACAAGTTAGCCCAGCAGAACTCAGATCAGTAATCCGACACTTGTTACACTTAGATTTGTGAGTTAGCTTGTTAGCCCAGCTGGGCTTTTCCTTCACACATCCTGCACCCTGGAGCTGTCACCACACCTCCAGTAGGCCCTCAGCCTGGAGTGTTTCACACAGTTTTCAAAAGCCAGGTTAAGAGGTGGTAGGCGCATCCTGGTTTCCCTGCCTCTGGGCAAGTCACTTAACTCCGCTGAGCCTTGATTTCCTCATCTGTAGGGTGAGTCATGGGGTTACTGCCTGGACAAAATATGACAGTTCCTGTTGAGCCCTGGGGGGCCTGTAGTGGGCATCCAGGCAGTGCGGGGCTGGCGCCGGCCTGGCCTGTCCCCCGGCAGGCAGCAGCTGTGCTCTGGGCCGGGACAGACTAGGACTAACCAGCTCTCCCGGCTCTCCCGGCTCTCCCTGCCTGGGCGCCCGATGCAGCTGCCCCTGCAGGAGACCCTGCAGACTAGGTTTGCTTCCTTCCTCTTTGAGGAAACAGTGTTAAAATGATAATACGTACTTTCCACCACTTCTACAGAAAGCCACGAAAACCTGGGGGCCTTGGGGAAGGAAGGGCGGGTGCCCGTGCGCGCCTCCTGCGGGGAGTTGTCTGGTCGCCTGGAGGGGCAGCCCTCGCCTGGCTCTGCTCCGGGACGCGCCTTGCTTTCGCAGATCACGGTGGTCACACCGGTGGCTGGATGTTCTGGTTTGTCTGAGTGTGAGTCTCTATAAAAGTGTCACCATGGGAACCTCCGTCTCCTGCAGCAGGTGGGGCGGCCCGGGTCTGCCTGTCCCTGCCGGAGCCTTTGGCCCTGGGGGCTCTGCCTCCGCCTGGGCTCCGGCTGCGGTGGGAGAGGGCCCTGCTGGTCTTTTACGTGGTGTCTTTCATGGTTCAAAATAACCCCAAAACAACTCCAAAAACCCAGTATCCAATTGACCCCGTAGATTAGACGCAAAAAGAAAATACGGAAAAGTCCTGCTTGGGAATGGCTGCCTAGCACTGAATGTACGTAAGGCGGCTGAGCTGTCGCATAAATGGTTAAAAGGATACATTGTATGCTATGTATATTTCACCACAGTTCAGAAAAAAGGAGAAAGAAAAGGAAACTGGGCCTGCAGATGCCACTGCCAGGGAGAGCCACTGTCCTTTGCAGATGTGGCCCGAGCCCTTACCCGTGAGCTTGGCAGGGAAGCCGAACGATGTGTCCTTATTAGAAGTGGTAGCAATGGCCCCAGCAGTAAGTCAGCACAGACCTTTGCTATTTTCTGCAGCCCCGTTTCTCTCTCCTCTCCCCACGGGGGACACTTGGGTGTTTTCAGCTTTCCCTAATTCAGACCACACGCACGCCCGCCTCAGCACTGCTTTAGGGTGAATTTCTGGAAGATGGTTGCAGGTCAGAGGGACTGGGTTTCTCAGCGCCTTCGCCAGGTGCTGCCAACCCGCCCTCCAGAAGCCTCTGCGGTTTCTCACCTCCGCTAGCAGCCCGAGGGCCGTCTCCCGACTCCAGGCCCGCGCCTGCCGGTGTCGGACTCTGCCCCGGACTCTGCCCCGTGCCGTCCGAAGGAGGAGAGGTTTGTTTCACGTGCGTGTCTTGGGTTGCCAGGAAGGTGGTGCCTTCCCCACGCCTCTTGGACATCTTTCCCATTTGTGAATGACCTGCCCATGCCCCCTTCTCGCCCCCTCCCATCCTCACGGTGACCTGAGAAGCTGTCTTTTGCAGAGGAGAAGTCCTCCGAGGCTCCCTGGGTGAGACAGAGCGTCCAGCCTGGGGGCCCCCGAGCAGGTGGGGACAGATAGGCAGGTCTGGCCCGAGCTGGCGGAGGCCAGCAGGGATGAGGAAGGAGGAAGCCCTGGCTCTCAGACCCTGGGAAGGGTTTCTGGTCTGATGGTGAGGGCAGCCCAGGGTTTGCTGCTTCCTGGAGCCTCAGTTTCCTCACCTGCGTCGTGAGATGGGGGGAGGTGTCAGGCTTCGTGAGCCTGGCAGTTGGGTGAGAGTCTGCCTTGCAGATACAAAAGGGGCAGATCCTATAGGACTGCACTCCTGGGAGGGCCCTGGGGGGCTCAGCTCCACGGAGGCAGGAAGCTGATGGTGGGGCCAGGCTGGGGGAGGCGGGGAGAGCGAGTGTTTAAGGGACAGAGTGTCAGTTTGGGAAGGTGAGAGTCCTGGAGACGGATGGTGGGGGTGGTTACAACAGCGGGGGTGCACTTAATGCCACTAAACTGCATCCTTCAAAATCCTCGAGATGGTCAGTTTTACGCTGTGTGTGTTTTGTCACAGTCTGAAACGCTGAGTCCGGCTTTGGGTCAAGGGCCCGGCTCTGAGTCTGCTCTGCTGAGGGTCAGCTCTGGGCCTAGGCCGTTCACTTAACTCCTGGGATGAAGTGGGAAATCCCTCCCTTCCAAGATCAAATGAGCCGGTAGGGGGTGGGGGGTTGGTGCAGGAATCTTCTAGATGTGGGACAGTTTTGGGTTGGGTACCCTTGGGTCACTGGCGGCACACCGTCAGCCGCCTGCCACCTACAGGATGGGAAGGACCCCGGGTGCCCTGCTGGAGACACAGAGCAGTGACCTCAAGCCGCAGGCTCTGCTGCCCCTCAGGCTGACCCCTAATGGCACCTGTCCTGTCCCAGGTGTAGGCAGCGACCACGCAGAACGGGGGGCCGGAGCCACCCTTCCTGCCAACCAGCTGCCTACGGACACCATGTCCCATGGACACACCCGGTCACGCCCATCCTGTGCTGCTGGGCTCCTCAAGGTCACGAGTGCCCCAGGGCAGCCTCCTGCTGGAACGGGCCCCCACACATCCTGGCGCCACTCCCTTCTCTTGTGACCTCCGCGTGTCTCTGAAGGGGCAGCGTTGGGGGAGGAGTGCGAGCTGGCCAGGCCGGTCTCACCAGGGGTGGCACCTCTCAGCTCCTTCAGTTCTTTGTGAAGGTCTCCGCCTGGGACTGGTGCTTCCTTCCTGGGGCAGCTCTGCCTCGAGGGGCAGTCACTTCCCGTGGGGGACGCGGGGGATGCGGGGGCCTGGCCTCTGCTGCAGGGGCTTCTCCGTGTTGGGTCCTTCAGTCAGAGACCCAGACACAGCCTGACACTGGGGGCTCTCGGCCTCCCGCTTCGCTGCCAAGCAGGGGTGCCGGCTGAGGGCTGGACAGGTGCAGGCCCTGGAATGAGGACGTGGAGGGAGGCACCCCCACCCCTTGCCCGGGGCCAGGCCCCTGAGGCCTTGCTCCTGAGTGTCCTTGTTTAAACTGAAATATAGTTTGCAGCGCTACGCTAACTTCTGGTGCAGCACAGTGATTCACTTATACGTGTATGTGTATTCCTTTTCAGACTCTTTTTCATTATAGGCCATCATGAGATAATGACTACAGCTCCTTGTGCTGTGCAGTAGTAGGTGCTTGTTTCCTGTGCGTGTCCTGGACCTTCCTATCGATGGTGGGGTGGTGGGAGGCAGGGCCACACTGGCTGTACCATTGAGAGGTTGAGGGACAGCACCTGAAGGCTCTCAGAGAAGGCGAGCTCAGGGTCAGGTAGCTAGCTGCGAGGGTGGGCCAGAGGCCTCTCTGCTGGGGGTCTCTCTGCTGTGTCCCTGTCTCCGGTCCTGCACTGAGATGCCCCTGCCCCGGCCTGCGGGCCAAGCCTGGGACACACGGCCGGTAGCGGACCTCTGCTCACTGGCCCCATCTCCACTCTTAGCATCATCTGTTGGTTCGTCCGGTTCTTCAAGTACATATACGGCCTTCGCTTTGAGATAAAGGGTCGCCAGAAGCTGGAGGAGGACCGCTCCTGTGTCATCATTTCAAACCACCAGAGCATCCTGGACATGATAGGTAGGAGGGGCTGCAGAGGGCTCAGCCCAGGCCCCCGGCCAGCGGGAGGCGTGGGCAGTGGGGGGTGCTGCTTCAGGGAGAGGGAGCTGGGCCCAGATGAGGGGATGGGGGACAAGGAGGCTGACGCTAGGACCTGTGCCTCCTCAGGCATGGGCCTCAAGCTGGGTGACAGGCGACAAGGCTGCCTGTGTCTGGTGCTGGGCACCTGGCTCTGCCACTCACAGCAGCCAGGATCCCTGTGAGCACCCTCCCTCTGCAGGGAAACTGAGGCTCAGATGATGTGCCAGCTAGCCAGCCATCAGGAAGGCATGACTCAGCCCAGGCCTGTTGGGGGTCAAGGCCCAGGGCTAGCTCCCTCCTCCCTCGGGAGGTGGCTGCCCTGCTCAGAGGCTGTCTCTCTGTCTCTCTGTCTCTCCATGTCTCTATGTCTCCATGTCTCCCTTCCTCCCCTGCTCTGCCCGCTGTCCGGGCGCCTCCCACAGGCCTCGCGGAGGTCGTCCCGGATCGCTGCGTGCCGATCGCCAAGCGGGAGCTGCTGTTCCTGGGGCCCGTGGGCCTGATCATGTACCTGGCGGGCGTCTTCTTCATCAACCGGCAGCACTCCAGGATGGCCATGACCGTGATCACCACCGTGGGCGAGCACATGGTCAGGGAGAAGGTGAGTGCTGGGGAGCTATGAAGCAGCAGGTGTCAGAACAGCCCCAAAGTGTGACTCCCTTTTGGCAGAAAAAAGTGCATCATTGGGGGAGGGTGTAGCTTGGTAGTGGAGCACCTGCTAGCATGCATGAGGTCCTAGGTTTGACTCCCAGTACCTCCATCAAAGGAATAAATAAATAAACCTAATTACCTCCCCCACAAAAGAATTTTAAAAATTACAAAACTTAAAAAAAACCAAACAACAACAAAAAAAGCGCATCCTGGGAGCATCTCTGTAAACTACATCCAGAAAAGTCGGGTGGTGGTGTCGGCTGAGAAGTGGGGCTCCTGGGGGTGTGTGGCCTCCCTGGGGCAGCCCCCGGGCTGTGGGGTGCAGCCCGCCCCAGCTGCTTTCTGTCCACTCCACAGCTTAAAGTGTGGATCTACCCCGAGGGCACACGGAACGACAACGGAGATCTGCTGCCTTTCAAGAAAGGTGCCTTCTACCTGGCAGTCCAGGCCCAGGTGCGTCAAGGCCGTGGCCTCCTGGGGCCGCAGGAGCGGGGAGCGTGTCCAAGTTGGCTTAAGGCTGAAGGTGACCTCCTGGCCAGGCTGGGGCCACGGGCGCTCAGGGACCACCTCCCACTGGGCAGGCAGCAGGGCCTCCCCACCCCTCTAGCACCTGGTCCCTGACCTGCTAAGGAGGGCAGTCCCTTGGGCCCCTACACCCACTCTGAGCCTCAAGGCTGGCCCCTGCTCAGGCCCAGCAACCGGCTGGAATAGCATCACCGCTGTACCTGCACCTGGAGCTCCAGCACCCCACTCTCTAGCTGGCCTGGCAAGGGCCCTGCAGAGGGAGGCTGGAAGGGAGGCAGAGGCCTGCTGGCTGGGCTCTCTCAGGAAGGCTGTGCCAAGTTCAGTTCACGTCCCCCCCACACCCCTAGCTGGGGCGGGGCTGGGGAGTGGGCAGTGGGTCCAAGGAGGGGGCCTGGTGGTAGGGGTGGTGGTGGGGCCAGAAGGCTGGGAGGG